GTAATAAACTTCAGAGAGAAAAAAACATATACCTCTTAATACATTTTTAAATAAATGAAAATGTAATATCGGGGAAGGAAGTTGCATTTCATCCGAAATTGTATTTCCAGTCCCGTAGTGTTTTATTAAAAGTTCCCCTTAGTACCTGCAAACAATTGATTTTTGAACAAATCTGCTTCCACCGTAAGAGGAAAACGATTAAAATTAATTTTCTTTCTATATTAGTATTTTCTTTTTTCTTTTAATAATCTTCATTATTATTTTCGTGAACCCAGTCGTTCTTTTACGTAAAATGAAATTAAATTGCCTTTAATTGTTTTTCGCATTTGAGAAACTGTTCTGATATTTGGCAAAAGTAATTTCATCGCCTTTGTAGGAGGATGCGTAACATTTACGTTTGTTGCAGAGATTCCATGCAGCGATATTGATTTAATTACGTTTGCTGACTTAATCATTGTTTTATTAGTATGTTTTTGTAGAATGTAACTGTGCAAACGCGAGTGAGTTTAGCATAGCCTTTTTTACACCGAAGGTTGTTTCCGGAGGCATATGTCGGTCAGTGGAAATTGCTTCTCGGGGTACAATATCCACTGTTTGTCGTTCCAATATCGCTGTGCTTGTCAGGGATGAATTAACGCGGAAACGCATGAGGTCCTCTTCCCTGCTGTAAAAGTCCTAGGGAAATGGTTTAAAGAATCAGTCGAGATACGTTATCGAGGAAAATCTTCAATCTCCCAAGTTATTACGAATAATTGTACGAATAAAACAATTAATCATACTTGATTACATTATTACTCTAAACTTATGTGAGGTGAGAAGTTTCGAGAATTGATTTCATAAAATCCTAGAATTTTTATTTTTCGACTTGTTGAACATTTCGGGAAATTACGATCTAAAAAAAGGAGCGTTGTGTAATTGGGATTCATTTTTTACAGCAGATTTCGAACCAAATTTTACTCGATTGTGTACATTTGATGATCCTCCATAGTGTCACGGTGAATTGCAATTTATTTTTATACAGGAGTATGAAGTGTGCGCATCTAATTCCAAATGGCATTATGGTGTTTTCGTAATCTACCGAAATTTATGGTCAGATTATCGACTGACTATTTTCTTAAATATTTCAGCCACTTTTTTATGCCTCTATGAGAAAACTTTGGTCGTAATTTTTGTTCGCTCTTTCTCCCTTTTATCTACTTTATATTTAAACCTATTAAAAAGTCGGGAGAACATTTTTAATTCGATCACCTTTTCTCCTTCACATAAAGCAGATGTGAGTACCTTGAGATCTGTGAATCTTCTCAAAGTGACTTACTTTTTTGTTTTTCGAAATCTACTTTATTTCAAACTGCCTTTTCATTTCTATTTTTTAGTGAGCGAGAATATTTGAATTTATTGTATACTTATATATGTTTAGAATATATGGCGATGTACGTATTAATATTTTTCTCTGATTTGTATATCTGCCTTAAATTACGGATTCACTTTATGATATGTACACTTGAAACATGTGTCAAAAGCGTATATTGAGCGTGCGTGCGTCTCAGTAAAAGAAAGAGAGGAGAACTAACGAGTTTGCAGAGAAACGAGTTACTTCCAGTTATGAAAGATTTTGTATTTTCCAATAATCCTCAAACTGATGAATCCTGACAATAGCTTGGAATAATTCCGCATGTAACACCATTTTTTGCACTTCTTGCGATTTTTCTTTAACTCCTACATATTTTCTTTTGACATTTCTGATGCGGACCACGTGCGCACTTTAGAATGTGCATACGTGTCATACGCGTAAAAAACATATGTGCACTGGCTGGCAAACGTGACTTTAACCGGAAGTGGTTGCGATTTATGGAAACTAAGCAAAAAAAAAGCGACCAAGGATGTGTTTAATATAGAAACAAGACTCTTTGACAAGTCAATTATGGACTTCTAATTGCGCGAAAAATCAATCCAAATGTCGCTTCTATCGGGTTTGGGGCGGGGATGAGATCATTCTCAGATGATCTCTCGAAACCAATTGGAAGCCAGTCTCTCGGCAAATGGTATTGCAATAACACAGATTATTAGTCCTCTCGGTACAACAATGTCGACCGAGTAGCAATTATAAAGTACAATAGTGTACGTCGGCAACGTTCACTTCGGAGCGACAAGATTACGGGATCATGATCATGATCATGAGATGCTCCCAGAGTATCCAATTGTATCAAATTGTTGCCCCTCGAACAAACTGGTAAAATAAGGATTATGTAAAACTAACGTTTATTTAATACATGTTAGTATTACTTCGGGTCTTGTACAAATTTCAGTATTTTTTTATACAAAGGAATCGTAATAATTTATGCGATTAGAGGAAATTGAAAGTATAATTTTAGGTGACACACCTTAAAACTATGTTGTACCTACAGATCGATATAAAGAGGAAAATTGTCATCGGTAAATAATTAATTTTCTAACAAGTAATTGTAAGACAAATGTTCAAGTAAGTATGGATTACTAATTGTCATCCAGGAAAACCGACGGGGTCGATAAAAGATGGAATCTGTTAAAAATATACATAAAATTCATACGCTTTTAGTATGTAAAATTGTAGTAAAATTATAAACACTATGCCTTAAAAGTTAATTGGAATTATAAACTTAATTTCTAATTAAATTTCTAATTTTATGTGTTATAATTTTGTGAAATTTTTGTAAGGACATGAATATACTTATGAACTACTGAATGTACGATACATGTACATTTAACATTAGTATACCAAGTCCGAATAAAACGTCCAACAAAAGTGTCACAAAATTGCAATATTTTTTAAACAGAGTAATTAGTTTCGCAAAGTAATTTATTTCTGTCTGGAAGGAGCCAGAATTCGCGAAAGAATTATCACGCCGATCAACGTAAGAGATGGAGCGAGAGAGCCGGTAAAGGAATAAGTTAATCCCGATTATTAAAACCTCTTGCTGAAGAGGAAGATTTTTATTTCCGGGAAACGGTGAAACCAAGGCGGACGACTTCCTCTCCGAGGAGGCATTACTTATTAAAAGGAGTCACAGGCAGTCCCCTAAGAGTTAATCCTATTCTACCGAAAGAAAGGAAGAGTGACGCGATCCTCCTTCACAGAGGAAACCAGAACTTTTAATTCCGGGATTGTCCCCGTCACTTGGTCCCACTTTTCACTTGGATTACGTCGACTCGGTAATGCCTCCTCTGCCTTTGCATCTCATTGTGCTCGACTTCGAGGACGCGTATCTCTTCCCGAATGAATACTGCCGGAACTTCGCCGTCAGAGGAAAGCGCGTTGCACTTAAGTTTTCCAATTGTTTCTCCCACGGTAACTTTGAGACAAGGGGCCAACAAAATGTCAGCCTACGGTACGATATACGATACCCGGGAATCGAGAAAAGTCCAATGCTAAAAGATTGGGGTTAAAGAACATCGAAATATTTACTGATGTTCAACTATAGATACATATGTACACATGTTACTTGCACGTGTGGGGTCTAAATGGTACTTTGTATAACGTCTTTTAAATGAAAATTGTTAGACAATTATATGTTTTATGAAGGTATATCCCTGCGTTTATGCGCATCTTTAAATTAGACGAATCGTTCTCTCCTTTAAGGTGAAGTGAAACACGTCGAGGAACTTGATCAACGTCGATAAAGAAGATTTTTCTAAATGCCTACGTTGCCGACGTTCGATTTTATATTGACAGCTGGGTCGAATTATATTGGGTATTGTACCAAATGGCATATTCCACCTATCGTTTTTGTACAATAATTATAAAGAAATCGAAGTAAAACTCCAGAAATCCTCTGGATTCATGCCTTCTGGGGCCCTAATTGAGTGCGGAGAGACCCTCTGCGCCATCTGTGATTTCCAGGTCAATTAAATTTTCATTCTGAGACCTCGTATTACCATCATTTTGGCATAGAAGCGCATACAACACTTTTTTTGCCTTTATCCCGTTCAAATGCGAGTTTATCGATTACCAGAGTGTTCTAAATTGTCGTAAAATTGTCCTGACCCTTTCGATTCTCATATCAGAGCCTTCGATAATTGTATATTGATCGAAATATGAGAGCTCGACGCCATTTTGGTTCTGGTCTGGACTGAGTTAAAAAATTTGTTTGAATAATCCAAATTTTTAATGTGTCAGGACAATTCTTAGATGATCAGGAGTGGTGTGTCAAAGTTTCGGACAGTTTGGTCTAATACCTTTAAAAAAAAGTGTTGTATTCCAATCGACTGATTTGAAGGATGTTTCACTTCACCTTAAGAATCTCTCCATTGGCTTTACCTTAAGACACATGGTCTGCACTCAAAAGCAATCCCCTCACTTCATTTCATGAGTTTCTGGACTCGCTCCAAGTGCACGTCGTGCCAATGATCAATTGCGCCGTCCATTGGCTTGATCGATTAACTCCACAAAAAAAGTTGAGAAAATTGATAAATGTTAAGCACCGATCAAGTGCTTTGGCATTAAAACTAAACAAGATTCTAAAACGTGGAGTTAATCGCAGGGTGTAGTAAATTGCTCAATTTTCGGTTCTCAATTCCACATCTCCCTAATCGTTTTTTTTTTCTTTCTTGTCTTCTATCTAGTAAAATTCTATCTGCCAGCTCTATTTATCGTACATATGTTGCATATACGTATATATCGATGAGGGAATAATTTCCCTTTACTACTTGTCGCACCAAAATGTCGACAAATCACGCTCCGCTTTCTCCCTCTTCGATCCTCTTCCTTGGATTTTTACAATGTAGTACCTTAAAAAATGTCGAAACAAAGTACACACAAGGTGACTAAATGTTAATTTAAAATTAATACTATCGCTTTCGTCATAGGAATATCCTGAAATAAATCGTTTTCCTTGACTAGGCTGGCGACAATCTGATCATTCTAAATATCCATCGACCCGACATCGCGATCGTCAATTATTTTTCATAATCAATATATATTTTATCGATTAAAACTGAGAGTGGCGATTTCCCTCTTGTTACAGCGTACGTGACGTCGAGGTTTCCGTCGGTGGATGTGAGTAGCGTGAAGCAAGTACTCGCGTACAAGTGCAAGGAGAACTCGACCGCCCTGAAGATGAAGTCCATTCGGTATATCTGGTGAGTAGAGCCTTGCTCGCCCTCCACCATGGCGAGACAAACCGCCCCTCCGGTTACCCGGACTTTTCAAATTGGCTCGGTAAATTCGTAACTTCGTCGGGGACATTTCTCGGATACGAGTTTCTCCTCCACCAGAGTACACCTCGATGTACTTCCGGTCGGCGGAAGTTACTCGTTTCAATCGAGGGATATTTTCGATCGCTGCACACGAGACCGATCTATCATCTGATCGGTGATATCCACTTCGGAAGGGGAACGGAAAAATTCTATCAAACCTATTTTTAAAACATGAACAGGGTAAATTCAAAATGAATGTTTTTTCAGACAGAGATAACACTCATACCTCGATTGTGTTTGCTGCTCAAGCCCGACTACTTTTTGTTGGACTGTGGCAGGACATTTTGAAATAACTTGGCTGTTGGGCAGTGCAATTTTTCAAGAGTAGGTTGAGGGTCCACTTAAACCACGCGATGAAAATGTTCCTATTATTGATGGGGGAAAAAATTACTAGGGAGAATTTTCTTTTTGTTCGGTAGGTTCGTTTAAAAAATCGAGATCGGTGTTTTTGCCAGAATCGTGTTTCTGGTGACGATAGGGAATCACGAGGGTATAAATTCCTTTATCGGGATTATGCATGGCAATTTTCCAGGTTACGTAGAGGTACAACTGCAAGTAAAAATAAAAAAAAACATAAGTAAACTTGTAGAAGTTTACTTATGTTTTTTTTTTATTTTTACTTGCAGTTGTAGATATTCGCTGAATTTTGATATATTCACGCAGATATGTAAGGAGGAATTTTGATATATTCATGTAGAAATATTGTTTCCGACGACTCGAGGGTAAATTCTGAAATCCCCCCGAATTTTGCAGGCAATTGTTGCATTTTGAAGATTGTTCTCTCATAATATTGTAAACCTTGAGGAGGGTATTTTGGACGTTAGGGGAGCGAGTTATTTCGGCGCTATTCGTCGTTCTCACAGAAGACGTAATTTAAGGAAAACGGAATGCTCATGTCGCATTAAGAGGCTATGAAAGGCGCTAAGAAATTTAATCGACATCGATAAAGTAAAATTCATCTGTACCCTTTTTGGTAGGAATGCCGTTTTGAATACTCAAGTGGTAACATAAGATGGTGCATCCCATTACCGACATTTAAATTTATGTTCAAATCTTTTACAGTCTGCGTTGAGAATTATACAACCTGAAGGGTTCCATATGTCATTTCGGGAAAGTAATGATAAAAAGATCGATGTACAACTGTCGAAATCCCATGAATTCATGACTGTTTATATTTTAACGAACCAACCTCGCCATCTGTGACGTTTAGCCGCAACTAAATTTTTGCTCTAACAACACGCGTTAGCCCCGAGACAAGCCAACATTCTCTTGCAATCGTTGGTGAAAGTATTTTCCATATTTTTCCATCTGACTCTGTAATATTTTATTTCTACGGTATTCTAAATTATTCGATCTAAGTCCGGGAACTCTTCATTTTCGATTCTAAGCCTCCAAGAAGCGTAAAACATCGAAAACGTGCCCGGACCACGCCACGTTGGTTCTAGTCCATAATAAGTAAAATTATTCATGAAAAATGAAATTTCATGAGTTCCAGGGCTTACGTTAGGGCCTCCATATTCACGTGGTAAAATTTGAAATGAATCGGTGCACCCAATTCGGAGAATACTTTCCCCAACGATTTGACTCTTCAAATATATATAGGCTGACTCTTTCATATCCTCTTAACACTATTTCTACCAAAGGTGTCGAAAGACACCTTTTAAAATTTTAACTTGAAATTATTTTCAAACTTTAATAATTTTTTCTGAATTAATGTTTTGAGTTTTCGTATAATAATTGTTAAATTTATTTCGCGGTATCATTTTCCTCCAGCTCATCAAAACCTTTTGGTCGAAATAGGTATACACAAAATCGTGGTAGAAATAGTGTTAAGGCGACGCGAAACCCGCCTTGAACCAGTCGATTCTAAATGAGATACTTTTTTTTTTAAGGATATTGCCCTGAACAGGCTGGAATTTTAGCACGTGACTCGTAGGCACGTAAGGAAAGTTCTAACACTGAAAATTTGGATTTTCGAAATTTTTTGGACTTGCTTTAAACCAAAACCAAACTGGCGGCGTGTTTTCATATTTCTATTAATATATCATTTTTGAACTGTCACGTAAGAAATGAAAATGTAAATACCGTTGCATAATAATGTAGAACACTTTAGTAATCGAGAAACGTGATAAAAATAAAGGAAGTATCTTGGTAATTTTCGTGGTAAGATGAAGGTAACACGTGTGCACTTTGAAGTGAAAAATGTAATTGGGACAAAATGCCACGGATTGTTTCACTTCATCTTAAATGTACTTGGTGACATACAGAGGAATGCCAAATGTAGATCATATCCTTGAAATTTACCGGGAATTATTTCTCGAAATGTTCCTTGCATATCAATGTACAAAAACTTACAAGTGCAATGTTAGTTAACGCTAGAGATGTAATACGTTTATACAATTTTGGTTTAAAAAGTAAATAATTAAGGGACATAGAAACTCGCTCTTGTCACCTCTTAAACTGGAAGGAACTTGAAAATGGCGGTTTTATTCAGAAAATAATAAAATTGTCGTTTTTTTTTCCATTAGGAAATACAAATTTACCGAGATCGATTGGCAAGGGATGGTGTAAATATTCGTAGATATTAATTTTTGCCGAATCGCGCAGGTAGTTGTAATTCCCTGGCAAATTTCGCCACGACGTAATGAGAAGCACCCGCGGATTTCCCTACGGGATATATTCGCGGCAAATTCAATTACTTCTTGGGATAACGCCAACAATTATTGCGTGGTTTGAAACGTGTACCTGCACTAACAGTTTGGTGCATTATGTTTGTTCTGGAATGACATAAACAATCGCGCATTATTTGGCCGACTCTCGTTCGAACATACAATTTTACTATTTCTATTTTAAAATTAGTTTAGTTTAGTTAGTTCTATTTTAACAATTAAATCTTGTGCCCCTTTTATTCAATACTGTAAATACATTTTGTGTTATACCCGTAAAAATATTTGACGCAAAAGACTAATTTGAATCATTTTAAAGTATATGAAAGATTATTGCTTTTTATAAGATAGTATTTTCATCACTTACAAAAACTGTGATTGTTTATGAACACTTTGTTTTCTAATTGTAAACCAATTTCTGGTATAATGATGTTAACATGATACATTTTTTCCAAATTTTATTCATCGAACTTCATTTTCAGTGAGCGTGCAATAGCTTCATAAATAATAAAACTCAAGAGTACTTGCACGTGTCTTAATAGCATTTAGAGACAAAAAATTACTTATTTACGTTAAGCATGCATATAGATATTGTTTGGTATATCGAGAAATTCCAATTTGCACTTTCGTCAGAATTTCGGCATATTTCCGGGATCGAATAGTGTCAATCGCACTTCGAAGAAACGGAATCCATTCTCGTTGATTCTGCTCCGTCGAACAAACATTGAGGAGGGTTCGATCTGACGGAAACGAAAGACGGACAGATTAATTAATCGCCGACTTGTTCCGGCATTGCATCGCGGAAGAAATCGTTCCAACTTCCGCTCGCATTATTCCGCGACTTGGAGTTCCGGAAGAGAACAAGAGTTGAGAAGAGTTCGGAAACGATCCGAGTAGAGAAATCGCCATCGAGCTCGCACTTTTTAATGACTTTAATAATAATAACGCGGCCGTATATGTCGGACTTATATTAAATCGTCCTACCATAAATTGCGCTAATCCTCTTTATTAAATCTAATAAGCGATTAAATTCAACATGACTTTCTATCCAAATTTAATTATATTATATTACTAACGCGAGGACCATTGTTTAATCCGTGGCAAAGTATTGGATCGGTGCATAAATAAAATTTGACGAAATAATTCACGGAAGTTTAGGAGTAATTGGTGCTGAGTAATAAATGATATCGTTTTTAACCGAACACCGAGTTCCCTTTTAATGTACAATTGAGAAGTGGTCATTAATCCGGGACATTTCCACCCGAAAACTCAGAGACATACGGCGGTAATCCGCCTAACTTTCCGGTTTTTTTTCCGGTACGTCATGATATTATATCCGACTTGAGAAATGACGCGGGGTGACAGTGACCTGTGAAATATAATACGGCCACCCTCCCCTGGATGCTTGCAGGGCGGGAGAAGAAATGTGGCTCTCTTTGACAACAAAGGAAATAATGTACGGTACCGCGAAATCCTGTATTGGCCCCAGCATCCCTCGTCTTAACTCTGAGATGCCCCAATCGTGACAGGACACTAAAGCAATAGTCCCCCTAGTGGCTCTTCAGAATCTACTTCAGGATTGGGGGCGATGTGCATTTACCATTTTTAACCCGCAACTGGCTTGACCTGATCTCTTTAAAACTTAAAAGATACTGATTTTTTATTTTAATTATTTTATTTATTTTGCAATTAATTTAGATTAGTTCATGTTTTAAGGCAAACCTTGTAAACCTTTCATTTAACCCTTTGCCCTAGACGCCATCTCATCTAGACGTACGATGTCCCCTCAGAGGGGACAGCCGAGTGCAAAGGGTTAATAATATAAGTACATTTTGTGTTAGGGGCGATGTGCATTTACCATTTTTAACCCGCAACTGGCTTGACCTGATATCTTTTAAACTTAAAAGATACTGATTTTTTATTTTAATTATGTTGTCGATAACAAGAGATTATAGCTCGTACTCATACCTCACGTGTGGTGTTAAAAGACGTCTTTTAGCCACTTAAGGTATAAAAATAAAAGACGTCTTTTAACCCTAAAAGTTAGGTATGATTACGGACCTACAAGTGTGGTCAAAAATTTTGGAACGATTGTTTTAGATATTTTTCATTGAGGTTGTATATATTTTTTTTTCTCTTCTAATTTCCCGTGCTTTGCTGATAATAATGTTACTTGAAAGTTCATCTAGAACATCGACAGAACTTTTAGAATTACCT